CACACACACACAGGAGCATTGTATAGAATGAGACCCTCGCATCGTTCCTCGTGCTATGCATATTGCGTGCGCTAGTCAACATCTTCGCTTTCTACGTGCCTAAACCTCCGTGGTCGGCCACGTGCCATTCTTGCGCGTGGCTGGTAATGGTATTGTCCGTGTATTAGCGTGAGAAATCCGAAACGCGCGGGCGAGGAGAACCACTTAATTAAGTGTTATCGTGCTGGCCGCGCGCGTAATTTCGTTCCGATGTGTACGAATTAATCCCGTTGCTGCCGCGTGTAATCGCGCCGTCCTTTCGTATGTTCGAATTGCAAGGGAACGTATCGAAGCAAGAGCTTTCGATAAACTTCGATGATTACGAACAGAAACGAGGAGTTTTTTTTTTTTTTTTTTATGTAACCTTCTGACGAATATGACAACACCATCATGTTGAAGAAATAAAAAAATATTATAAAAATAAAACAGATCTGCTAAAAATAATATTTTTTGTTACAGAAATATAGAGAATTTGTGATATTATGACTATAGTGGTATTAGCCTTATGATAAATGTAATTTGGTTTCGCATTCAAGTAAACGCCATTTGAATTTTTCAAAAAAGTAACGCTAGCCCGTAGAACTCGTGGAAACAATATCAACGAAACGGCGAACGTACGATCGAATGAAATCATCAGCAGTTGACAAAGAGTCAAAAACGTCACGTATATATTTAAGAGAAATCGAGTTAAAACACCTCACGTCGACCGCCTCGCGGTCAAGTCAGTCAGGATTTTAAATTTGGCAGTCATCGAGTATCAATCCCACCTGCGAATCCCGGCCTTGTCATCCCGAACTATTGTATTGACCGACGGCGACGTACAAATCTGCGTTTGCACAAACGCGACTCTAACGAGATACGACATAGACGCGATGTCGTATCATATAATTGATTAATGTCATCGAGTTCTCGAGCGCAGCGGGATTATCTGTTAATGCTCTGACGAACTGGTTAAGGAGAATCTCGTTTGTGCCCTAACGTCACGATAGCTTTGGGAGTAATCCAGTTAGAGGTTTCGCTCGCACGCCATGGTAATTATCAATAACCTTCAGTTGTGATCAATTCTGATCCGTTATGATTGCTTACGATCATTAGTTAAAATACAATCATAAGATAAATTCAAGATAATTTCAGCCTTTCCTTATCCCATTACTTCTATCGTTAGGATTTCGGAAGAATTATATTTTGTCATTGACTTTTTATTTTTTAATTTATTACTTCTCCTGAACTTATAAATATTATTTGAATGAATCAAGGTTTTAGTATGATTCTAATGAGTTTAAATAAATTTATAATATTAAATAATAAAAAGGTTTTAAATGTATCTCGAGGTTTAAACATTTTGCGACAGCATAAAACAAATGTTATCAAGCTCGGAATTCGAGCGATTGTTTATGAAACGAAAAGGAACATAATAGGAACGTTCAAAAATGACAAAGCTAATTAAAACTCACGTTGGTACTCGACAACTTGCAAGAAGCGCGGTCTAATTACGAGTAACGCGCAAGTTGCATAATTATAGACTACGTACTGCTCATTTACACGTGTTGCTTCACACTTGCGATAACGATGTTAATTCTAGATTGTATTATCGCGAATTACTTTATGCATACGTATAAAATGAAATTAATCATAATTAAATGCCAATATTTTACTGCTTAGTTTAGCACTGAAATATTTGTTAGGAAATATATTATATGATGATATTTATTATTAAAATTGATTGAATATTTTAGGACAGACGTAACGAATCATGTGCACGTAGCCAGA